TAGTTTTTGACTTATTTCAATAAATACAAAAATCACACAGACAATAAGACAGAGGAACCGGTTATTTTCGTTTATTACTTCATATTAATTAAGTAACTTGTAATATAATTCTAAATTTGGGTTAAATCTTTAGTTACAGTTCGACGTCAGCTTGCAGAGCGGCCGCGCCCACACCTAAAGACAGGGAACAAGACAACTGCCTCTTCGAGCCCAGGGTAAGTACTATCAGACTTTTCGTACGCCATAAGGCAGATGTAAAAACAACATTGGAACCCAAATTGTGCTCTTAATGTAACCGGTTATTTACAGTGTTTTTTCGTTCAGATTTAGTTATATTGTTTTTTTTTTATATCAGTGTGCAAGCAACGCAACAACCGAGCAAGCAAGTGCGGAGTCCTGTCCCGCGCTGCGACCTGACTCCGCGCATACACCGCACAGGGACGATGAAATCGGTAATTTACTCTATTTTCTCTATATTAATGGTGGTAAACGAGATATCTGCTAACTGGATTCGCAGAAATAGCAACGCAACCCTTAGACGGATGCAAATGCCTACTGTTAAATTATGGAGAAAGGATTGTGTAAAAAAGTTGCCCTTTCTATGCGTCCTTTCACTCATTAAGTTCATTTCTTCTTCTCATATTATTCTGCCCTTAATCTAGAACTATGATGATAGAAGAATACGCTTTCCCGTCTGTTGTCGTTTTCCCATAGCGACAGATAGTTAATTTGGAAAGAAATGGGTGAATTTTAGATCGACTCCTACTTATCCAATTCCCTTTTACCTTAATATCCAATATTGATTTTTGTATTCTATATCATTTCAGAAACCGATACAGAGTATCTAGACGCGCATAACGACTCAGGACACGTCTGCACGATATCAGAAAACGTGGAAACCAATCTGCCGAAGCAAGGCAAAGTGGGGCGTTTTAAAGCGCGAATAGCGCCCGGGCACCACAAACTGTGCACTAAAGTGAAACAGGAGTCCATCAAAGAGAAGAACCAATCAGCGCCATCTAGCGTTCTGCCGCACGGACATCATCACACCAAGAACGTGAACCACCACCAGTGCTGCGGCGCCTTCGGCAACCCACACGTGAGACATAAAGCAACTAACTCTAGTTGTCATCTTATTTAATCTAAGAAGGTTTTAATGCCATTCTATCCATGAAGGTTTTAATGTTAGATGCTACTGGCATATAAGAAAAAAATGTAGTTTTTTTAAATAGTAAATCGTCAGAACTTTTCATTTAATCCATGAAGGCTTTAATGTTTGTGACTGGCACATGAGAACATTTTTTTAAACATCAAATGCTATAATTTGTGTTGCGATATTAAAATATCAATTTAAAGTAACTTAAACAATTGGAATCGTTATTTTAAATAACTTTTTATTAAATCAGGTTAAAGTAAGATAAGAATTATTTTTGAAATATTCCTATAAACAAAATATGTTCCATTAGATACCTACTTTTATTTTATTAGGTTCTTTCATAGTACAATTAAATTGGTATTACAGATTTTACTACGTTACATTCTTATTATTATGATAAACTTGTTTTCAATTTTAATTCAATAACATTTATATTTACAATTATATTTTACAGTTATGTTTACCTTCGTCAGTCTGTTAATTTATATTTGAAATGCCCCATTTATGTATCTGTTTTAAATTTCTTTTCGTTCTGATTTTTACAACGAAAGAATCTCTAAGTTAATAGTGATATTGTTAACTTTAAGGTATAATTGATTAACTTAATAGATATTTTGACATAAATAGATGTTTATTCAAGAGTACAATCGCGGTATAACAATGATATTTTAGGTTATGTTTTTTTATTGTTTTATGAATGTTGATATTATAGTTATTTAAGTAGAAAACACATTAAAAACAATTGGCTTTGAGAAAAAGCAATGATTTTTGCTTTCCATATCATATATACATTTAGGTCTAATTTAGGTTCTAGGTCTTGTAAGATGGTTAAATTGTTTAAAAAATAAAACGAAGATTACTAATTTATTATACATGTCACCTTTTAATTAAAAACTTGGCCAGTTTATGATCAGACTAATTTTATAATGTATCAGAAAATTGTTTACAAAACGAACTTATTGCGGTTTTTCTTATTTTTTCTAATGTTTAACACTTTTAAGATGTTGAACCAACAAATTGTAAAAAAATGTTATTTTTCTTTTAATTAGAATAAAGGACAATGTAGTGTGTGGTTTGATTATTTTAAGTAAAACATAGCCCATAACAAGTTTAGTACATTGGCTAACAGTTTTACAATACTAGTCCAATTTTAAACTGACCAAGATTGCAATCTGCCACCGACATTTCACGGCCTATAAGGTTCTATTATAGTACGTTTTATTTGAAAAATCGAATTATTGTAGTAGCTGATGTATTTTTGTATAACTTAGAATAGCTTAGGCACTTTCAACTAAGATAATATTTATATCTTTACATTATAGTGTTAACTATGTCGTTTTAACCCTTAATTTGCTTGTATCCAGTGACTAAAAAAAAAAGTTTACTGACCTAATTTAGAGAAAAAATACGCGAGATTTTGATTTTAGTGTATTAGTAACGTATAATATTTTTTTTTTCAAAAAACTCCGTCGAATTAAGGGTTAAAACATTTTATCCACTAGTCACTTTTTTTTTGTTTTTTTTTTTTGTATTTAAGTTATTATTTATTTCAGATCTCAGATAAGATTACGACATGCCAAAAAGAAATTCCAAAGAATACTGTAATGGAGAAGATTAAGTCACAATTTAAAATGAGCTTTACTCGTTGACAATAGAGGTTATATTTCATTGAAAAATAATATTAAATTTTAACAAATGCTTAATGATTTATAACACTGTTAAACGGTGGAATTAATAGGGTTGAAATGTGCGACAAAAATATCTGGTGCGGTGAATTTTCTGTTAACTGGCAATCCTAGAGTTGGTTATTGGAGTCTCCTGAGATCAGTTCCCCTCTCACTCTCCCTGATAGGGTATTTAGAAATGTAAAATGGGTATAAAAATACCATATAAATGGTAACTGCCTTATCCTTAGCCTGAAAAATCAACTGGCAACGCCCATTCGTTTTTTGTTTACTTAAACCTCCCCTTAAGGTTGATTTTACATATTAAATCTATACTAAGAGACGCCTTTGTAAGAATCACAGTTGCAATTAGTATATTTTCTAACAGAACACTCACCGGGCCAGATAAGTTTGTTAAAAATGACAAAACATTTTGAGGTTATGTTTTATTAGATTTTATATTATAAGCTAATAACATTAGATTAATCATTACTTAGTAATGCATTTTAGTATATTTATATGTTAAACTTTCGAAATATTTGTAAGTGATTTTGATTTAATGTATTATATGATTTTTATCGCAAATATTTTGCTATATTTAAAGCAAGTTTATAATGTTAAAAACATATCAAAAAAGTATAGAAATATTAACGTTTATTGTTTTTCTCATATCGTGGAAACTTGCATGTAAAAATATACTCACTGTTTTAGAAAAAGGAATCTTTTTCTATAAAACGTCATGTTTTCTTTTTACTCTGCAGTTAAAACCCACAGTTATGGTATCTTTTTGTACAGATGAAAATGAGAAAAAAAAACTCTTTGAATTTGACCATAAGTAAAATATTGTGAGTAATTATAACATTGCAATCTAGTCGTTTTGAGATTATTATTTATTGTTATTTACAAAGATTGTTATACAAAATAGAAACGTTAGTCTTTTTTTTTTTTATTTTATTTATAACAAAATAAAGTTAAAAAGTTACAAATTCTGTTACTTTGTTTTTGACCGACTTCCCAAAAGAAGGAGGTACCTACTCAATTTGTCTTTGTTTTTTTTTATCTTTTATATGTTACAACTACAATAAGAACATCTTAATATTAAATTATAACAGTTCTTAAATCACTAGAAGTTTTAAATGTTCAATAAAACATTGCTTTAAAATCTTATATTATGTTGTCTTTAAATTGAATCAGTATTCGTGTACAACACAAGTTTATCTATACTATTATTTTGTGATCATCTGATTATTATTAATAAGTTATAGTCACAGATTATGCTTCTATAGATAAATACAGTATCACGTTTCTCACTATTGTGGAAATAAATTGACATTTGGAAATGCTATTATGGTTTTATTTTCCCCTTACCAAATGAGGCACAAAAACGTATTCGCGTTGGAGACAGATAATGTATGTAGCTGTGTCGCTCACTCTACAATAAATTACCATTAGTATCTCTCGCTTGCACAAGATGGCGGCGATTGCGTCTCCGGTTTTGTTTTCATTTACCCAGATTTACCATAATTATACTTTTCACATCTGTCATTTTTAAAAATCTGTTGCTGTTTCAAAGAGAGTGAAAGAGATAGATATATTTTTCAGTTTCATATATTCATTTTATGTAATTTACGGGGCATTTTAGAGCGCACGCACATGTTTGACTAAACTATCGCACAACTGTGTAGTCTCTGTTAAACAGAGTCTGTTTCCTATGAGCTAATATGGAGGTGCGTACACTACTTGTTTTTTAATTGTGCAACTAAACAGTTGAATGGGAAATTAAACTCCGATTACAGATAAAAAATAATTTATTCAAAACAAAGATGATACAAAAATAGACAAAATTAACAAAAAAAAGATATTACCCTTATACCAAATTACTCGAAACTTAATTCCGTCCCTTTCAGATGTCGTTCAGCCCAATCATCGAATTTTCTAGATAGATCATCAGACATGTAATTCTTCCAATCGCCGATCTCCCCTTTTCTTATAAACCTTAGATCAGTTTGTTCTAAATAACTTCTGCCGAAAGATTTCTCTAATATAGCTTCGAGATTAACAGCTCTGTTAGTTTTCATGTTCTGAAAGGACAGGTGATCGCACAGTTTGAAGACTTGTTCATCAGACATCGACTTCCCGAGGAAGGCAGCGGTCTTCTTCACCACTGAAGGTAGATCTCGCTTCATCTCCTCAAATCTGATGAATAGGAGGTTCGGATCGTGACGTCTGTTCCAAAAACCTGTTGATAAATAGTTTTTTTAGTTATAATTGTTCAGTTTAATAGTTTTTAGGTTATTTTAGGGAAAAACCAAATTAGTTTTACTTAAACAGTCAAATTAAAACGGATTAAAAAGATAAGCATTAAGTATGACGTCATAATTCTCAAATGGAAATAAGCAGGACCAGGAAAGTATATGTTTAAATACATTTTTAAAATTTCCGCCGTCAAAAATTAATTTTACGATATTTTTGCATTGAAATCTGCATTTTTGTCGCGATTGCGAACAGGTTACGGTCATTTATTTATTTACTAGCTTTCGTCCGCGACTCCGTCCTCGTCGACTCAAAAAAACAAAAGTGGGTAGCCTATGTGTTATTCCAGACATCCAGACTATCCTCTTCATCCATGCAAAATTTCATCGATATCCGTTCATCGGTTTAGGCTACAAACTCTAACAAACAAACATCCATCTAAACTTTCGCATTTATAATAATAGTAAGAAGTAAGATTTACTCGCTCATTCCTATTTAAAATGCACTCAAATGTTTTAATAAATATTAAACTGTGTTACTTACCCAATATATGATTCCATACGGGCCCAAATGGCGCGCGGTCCCTCATGAAGAGGTCACAGAACTCCTCGAAGGTCCCTTTGAGGCCGTGCACCAGCTTGCAGTAGTGGTAATATGATACCACCATGTCTTTGGGATTACGTGATGTGTAAATTACCTGTTGAACATTAGAAGTTATTCTAATAAATGGAAACACAGTTGGAAAGCCATAAAATATTAGAAGTATGAACTAGTTGGATATTTTAAGAGTGGAATACCAAAATTCAAAACGTTAGTAGTGGTTGGTCAAGTAATGGAAAAAAAGTATGGAATGATATTAGAAGATTAAATGCCTGTCCCATTACTTGATGATAGAATCTCAGATAGCTTAAAAATAACGTCAATGGCAGATTTACACGTTGGATTGTTATCAGACAATTTACAATTTGGCAATAGGCCCTAAGTACGTGCGCACACGACTATACTATCTCACAACTTTTGTGCGATTGTCGATTGTTTCGCAGCCAATTCAACTGTTCAGTTGCACAATTAAAAATCTAGTAGCGTGCGCAACTCCATTGAATTTGGGAAAAAGGCGCAGATAAAAGATACTTTAGTCAAAAGTGTGCGCGCACTCTAAGG